CAGCTCGGGGTCGAGGCAGCACCTGCCACTTGAGTTTCCTTTCAGCACCACCATGGAATCTGGGGCTCCGAGGGAGGTCTGAAAAGCACTGGACTGGTTGACCCAGGAGGTTGTTTCTAGATCAAATATTCTAGAAATTTACCATCTTATGTGATTCTCCTCTCTGTTTTATGCCTGTGACTAGACTCTCGAGGGAGGCAGTGAGCAATGTGTGGGCAGAGACATTCTTTTACATTTGATTTGTGCCCTCGCACACAGTAGGAACATAAGAGCAGATTTGTACCCAGTTGAGTTTCTATCTCCGTTGCTGCTAAAATCGAGTGTTTGCAGCAGTTTCTCCGGGTGAGAGAGCCACGACCCACCGGTCTAGATGTGACATCCATTCTGAGTTCTCATGGAGCCAGCCGTGTGCTTTGCCATTTCTCCTCCCTCGCCATCTGTACAGGGAACTCTCTGCCCAACAGGGATGCAACGGGAATGAAATCCTCATTTTGGAAGTCCCCTCCTATTGAGTCGTCTTCTCAAATCTTTTCCATCTAGGCAAAATTGTATTTAAGTACTACCAGGCAAGAATTCAATTCATTTTCAAGAATTTATTGAAACCATTTGTTTTAGGCACTGTGTTAAATGCCAGGGTGTGAATAAATGCAAACTGTGATCCTGTCTCCAAAGACTGTTCAGCACCAGTGGTGGCAATAGGCACCTGGGGGTAGATGACAGGGTTACAAGATGCAGTGATGAGCACTCAGAAAGCAGGGGGTTAGAACAGTCTGCAAGGACTCTATTCTGAAAGGGACAGGAACTGAGTCTAAAGGAAAAGGAATAAAGGAAAGAACATTCCAGTTCAGGGGATATCGTGAGCTAACCCTTGGAAGCGTCACTGCACCTGCCTGTTTCTTAGGTTGCCCAAGTGTCTGGAATACTTGGGGAAGGTAGCTTGAGGTGAGACTGGCCCGAGAGTTTGGAACCAAGTGGGAAAGGCCACATGAGCTACAGGATGAAGCGTTTGTTTCCAGGAGGGGACCTTATGGTCACTGCTCAGTTTTAGGAAAATCACCCTGATGGTGTTTTAGAGAACGCATATTGGAGTGGGGAGAAAGAGGGATTCAGTTGTTTTGGGGAGTAATGGTGGGAACCCCAGACTAAGATGAGATGATTTCATTTAAAATAGGAGAGAGAAAGAGGGTGGCTGTTGGAGATATTTAGAAGTAGAATTAATAAGCCCATCATTGGATGTGATGGTTGAGACAGAGAAATTAAGGAAGAGGCCAAGTTTCTGGTTTGAGAAACTGGATGGAGACAGGAACTTGCTGTTGAAATTGGGGTTAGGTAGAGAAGGAGCCCCCTGGTTATGGGAGGTGGAGATAAGGTTGTGATGTGCTTGAGGGGTCTATGGGTCGTCCCAGTGGGACGTCTGGTGGGGACACTTGTGCTCAGGGGAGAGGCGGGTTCACGGGTGATAGAGAGCTGACCACTTGGGTATGGATGGGCAAATGGGGATTGCTTGAATGATGGAAGAGAAACGCCAACAATTAAAAAGGAAAGGGAAAGAAAGATCAGAAGGAATGCAGAAGGAAGAGCCAGAGGAAGGTCTGCCATCTCTTAAAAGCCTCCTGGGAAGAAAGTCTTCAACTATAAAGGCAGCCTCCATCAGTCCTGTGGCAACAGAAGCCCATCACCTTGCTGTGTCCTGGGGCTTTGCTAGAAAAGTCCTGGCTGGGTAGAGCCCAGTCAAGTCACAGGACACAGCAAGGCGGAGCCAGGTGGTTCTGTAGCACTGGATGCCTTCGGGCCCCTCAGTGGCTTCCCTAGGAGAGAGGTGACCTGCTGGGCCCCAAGCACCGGAACTAATCAAGAGAGCTGTTTAACTTAAGCACATGGCCCCAGCTGTGCCGTGGCTGGGTCCCGGGTGTCGTGTTGACAGCCGCTAGTCCATTAAAGGTGCAGCAAGCCTGGTGAGGCACAGTTCTGAAGAGCTGCTATTAACAGCATTTAATAGCAGGACTGTAGTTAATGCTTAGCAAATGCTTTATGAACAGGTTCCTCGTGCTCTGTGGAGGCTGATGCAGTTTACTCGCAATGGATTTGCTTTCTCTTGTTGAGCCCGGGAGTGTATAATCAGTTCTTTCCCTCTGCTGAAGAGCTTTCTCTCTGGCAGGACTGGGGCCTGCTTAACACTGGTGCTGCTTAAGTTAAAGAGGGCTTGTTTCTGAAGGAGGCCCTGGTGGGCTTGTGTGTGCCTGGGGGTCTTGCAAAGTGGAGACCAGAGTGACTTGTTTCTGTTGGGTGGAGAGACAACCTGGAAAAGCCGGTGGTAGTAATAGATTCTACCCCTGGCCTAGGGCCTTGTTGGTCCTGGCCTGGATGGATCACTGGTTTCCTCCTCACCTTTGAGCAAGCCATGTGACCTTTCTGCCTCTGATCTCTTTGCCTGTGAAATATGGCTAATCACATCTCTCTTCTTCTTGGGTGATCATGGGAATTAATGACCATAAAGCCTTTCGAGGACTGGGGAGGGGAAAGGGTTTGGATGGTGTAGACACCAAGCATTCCAGGATGTTGGGAATTTCCACTGAAAGAGTAGGGGAAGTATAATTTGGCATTGTCTTAGTCTGTTATGGCTGCTATAACAAAATGCTATAAACTAGGTGGCTTATAAACAGCAGCAACTTATTTCTCATGGTTCTGGAGGCTGGGAAGTCCAAGACCAAGGCAGAGTCAGCGTCTGGCGAGGACCCACTTTCTGGCTCCTACATGGCACCTTCTTGCTGTGTCCTCACGTGGCGGAAGGGGCAGGAGGTGTCCCCCAGGCCTTTTGTGGGAGTGCTGGTCCCATTCTGAGGGTTTTGCCCCTATGACCTAATTGCCTCCAAAGGCCCCACCGCCTACTACCATCATCTTGAGAGTGAGGGTTTCTACCTACACATTTTAGCGAGACATGGACATTCAGATCATAGCAACCATTACCTGTAAATCATATATTAAGTTGAATTTCTGATAGTATTTATTCAGGATAAGTAACATTTTAGGATGGGTACAGAAAGCCTTAGACTACTTTTATTTGGAATAGAAATGGGCTGTGATTTCTGTTTTTAATTCAAGGAGGACTATCATTGTTTTTTTGTTTTTTGTTTTTTTCATTGATGCTGAATAGGCAAGGAGGAGGTCAAAGGTCAAAGCCACCAGGCTGGCTTACTTTCCCCTTTTAAGCCAAGTTTGAGAAAACGTCCCCTGGGAAATAAACAGGTTAATATTTCCAACCCTCAGGCTTCTCCTTAAAGATGTTTCTTTCATCTGTGTGCTTTTTACTGAAATTATTTTCACTAAGTTATACAACAAAACCACAAACACTCAATGACTAGTAGACAGATGACTGTGTCTTTGATTCCATTTCTGTTTCTAAGTGGAAGGGTCTCTTTCTGGCCCCCAAACTACTGAAGGGCAGGGTTGTGGTTGAGTTATTTGTGTTTGCTATCTTAGGTCTTTCTGTTGGGAAAGAATTTGAGACTTTGCTTAGAACACTTGAGAAGTAGGCCTGGTGCTGGTATTTAGCAGACATGTGACTTTGGACGAGTTCTTAATATCTCTGAACTTTGTCTCATCCAAAAAGATAAGTAATGTAATAGGCCCACGTCGTAATATTATGGAGATCGAATGAGACGTTGTATGTGAAAGCTCAGTGCCTGAGCCAGATGTGAGCATTTATCGCCCACATGGGAAAGGACGCCAATGAAGAGGAAACCTAGGGGTGCCCTTTAGTCTCTTAAGCCCACGTGGCCCCCTTGCTCCCCTGGGGCCAGTCTGGCCTCCTTCTTTCTTCTGCGGAGCGCCTGCTGGCTACTGGGCGCTTTTATAGGGCAGGTGTCTTTGAGCCCTTTGTGCCATCAGAAGACCTCCCCTAGGGAGATTCTAGCTGTCCTGGTCAAGCCAGGTGCTCGATGCATTCACTGAGAGTGAGCTGCAGAGCAGCCTGTCCTCAGAGCCCCCTGCCAGCCTGTGGCTCTGCAGTGATGACTCACCCAGAGCTCCTCTCAGGCCAGGCACCCTGCTAAACCCTTCCCACATACCACCCCAGCTGCTCTGCACAGCCCCCAAGAGGTGGGTGCCCCTGCTTCCTTTCCATGGACAAGGATCCTGAGCCTCGGGGTTGTAGCCATGGGGTTCCTGGCAAGAAGCATCCGGCACACACAGTAGGTGTGACTGAGGGGACGTTCAGGAAGGGGCTTTTGAAAGCTGCATGGGCAGGAGTAAGGGAATCCCTCAGGGTCCAGCAACTGCAGGAAGCAGTTACTCCTGGAGCAGGAGGGCAGGGCTGGGAGAACCCTGGATCCCTGGCAGAGGCCCCTGACGGGAGGGGGCACCACCAGCGGCGTGGCGTTGACGGGAGGAGGTGGGGTGCACACTCCAGCCTCTCTTTCTGCCCTCCCTCGGGTCTCCTGCAGGCACCTCCACCCAGAGGGCCGGGAGCCCAGGGGACGGGTTAGCAGTGGTCTGGGGTACAGGCAGCAGTGGATAAGATCAAAGACAGTCTATGGAAGGAACCCAGGGCGGGCAAAGGGAGCAAATCCAGGAAGCAAACCTGAGTCTCTGACATCAGTGTCAGGCCGGGCAACTAGTCCCTCAGCTGTGCTAGTGTTACACACTCCAGGAGGGTGTGGGTGCCATGTGATGATGCCAGGCTCAATGAATAAAAAAGTAAAGCACCTGGTGATTGTTAAGAGGGCTGTTGCCTCTTGCATGGTCCTGGAGCCAGGCCCAGCGCCCCAGTGGCCAGGCTGGCTCTCCCAAGCTTTATGCTTGCATGACGCTGCTCTTGCAGGTATTTGGAAATGTGTTCATCTCGTCACTACCTCGAAATTGCAGCAGTTACGAGACCTGCTGCCAGATCTTGTTTAGTGCATCAATGAATAAATGCATGCATTACTATAACACAAATTTAAAAAAATATTTTAAAAAACCATATTTCAATATAACTTATTTCCTTTGTGATGCCATGCATTTTATTTTAAACACTTGTAAGCATTATTTATTCTGGCAAGGGAGGCACAGGTTTCCCCATGGCATGCTCATACACAAATGACTCAGAACACCTGGGCTGCTCGGTCTTGGCCCCTACATATGTTCACCTGTAGTCGTAGGTACCAGATTGTGGAGGGTGATGGCTCAGCCTTCTGGGTCATAAGTCCTGGCGGGGGGCTCCCCAGGGCCTGAGGCCCAGTCCTGGGACCAAGCTCCAGGGCTGTCGCTGCGATGATTTAGGCTCTTTGTGCCTCCTGGTGCACTGATCTAAACACTGATCCTTTTTCATGGTCACACTTGTGCGACAAGTGTCCTGGGAAAGGAGAGTAGGGACAGATGAGACTGAACCTACCGCATGAACAAGAGTAAACCCGAACATTATCACCTTCCACTGGGTGTTTCCTCCAAGTGTGATCCACAGGTCACCTGCCTACCTCAGAACCACCTGGGAAGCTTATTACAGTGTAGACTCCCACAACTCCACCCTCACACCTGCTGAATCTGAATTTTCGGAGCAGGGCCTGGGAATCTGCATTTCACAAGCTTCTCGGGTGGTGTTTAGGAGTCAGAACCGCTGTGCCCCAGGGCTTTTCATTTGACCTGAAGTTCAGGTTTTTAATTGAATTTTCAGCAACACATCTAATTTCTAAACCAAGCTACACTCCCCTTGGGTTGAAAGTTGCAAGCGAGGAGAATCACTGCTTTTCGCACCATCCAGGTCCCTCCTTACGTCTGTGCAGCATAACTAGAGGTTCTGTTGCCAGGCCGGGCTGAGGCTCTTTGCTGTCCTCTCTGGCTGGGCTGCTTTTCTAAGAGAGGTAAAGCAGCTAGGCACTGTACTAGCTGGATCTTTCCCCCGCTGCTCTGGAAAGCAGGAGAAATAATGTTTCCACTATTAATTCCCCTGCAAGTGGCCACTCTAAGGATCCATTGCCAGGGGCCAGCTGGCAGCGAGCCTGTCCCCTTTGCAGTGAGCCTGCTCAAAGTCCTCCCATCATAACAGGGGGCTCCTCCCAGGACCCATTGTCCTGCTTGGATCAGTGGCATAGATACTCGGTGGCTGGAGCCTGCCAGGGCTCAGAGATCAGTTAAGGGCATGAGGGCCCCTTTGGCCTCTGGTAGCTGTAGTCTCAGTTGACCTGGGCTGTTCTATTTGGTCCTGAAGTTTTGCATTCCCAGACTAGTCATTTGATCAAATGAAATGACAAGGCAGTAGCTTTATGTAACACCTTTAATTCAGGAGTTTAAAGTGCTATTCAAAGGTCAGAGCTTGCAAAGGGGTAAGTGCTCGCGTCATTTAAGCTTCTGAAGATAGTAGAATAAATGAAAAGCAGCATGCTGGCTCCCCACTGATGGGTTTACACTTTCCAAATCTTCATTAGCCCTTCTGAAGACTGCCAGCGTTATATGGATGATCCATTTGAGAGCGGTGAGCCTGCAGATACACGGTATCTGTGCTGCGAATAATAATTTCAGCTTTCATTTAAATTGCTCCTTTTCCGGAGCATGATTTCTTTTATGAGCAATATTTTTATGACTGACTCACATCCTCCTTTGTTCGGATAGTTTAGCGGGCTGAACTCTGGCCTGGGGTTTCCTGCCTGTGGCTCTGCGTGACCTCCTGCCTGGGTCTAGCCACCAAGAAGTAGATGGGTGTCCTGTCTCTCTTCTGCCATCAGGTCCCTTTGGTGCCTTATATTTTGCTTCATGTTCTCCAGTCTTCAAAGTTGTTGCCCACGAAATAAACAGCTCTGATGTTTTGATGCTTTTGTTTTCCCACTTTTAATAACCAAAATATATTTACTAATTAGAGTTTCTGATTAGCATGGGAGCCAGTATTACTGAGTTGGTATCATTCCAGTCAAAGGCAAAGAAATGTGACATTTTATTTTTCCTGTGGGGCTTTATCAAGGGTAAGCAAACAAATGAAGCCTGTTAGGTTTTGGAATATATTGAAAATAGCGTGCAGTGATCTGTTATGGTTTTCAAGGGCCCCTGGAGGTTGGGAACTACAGGGGCGGGGTGCTCTGCCCGTTCACTCCGTGCTTGGTTCCTGTGCGGCAAAGCTGGGTTGACCAGGCACTGTGCTGGCGCTGGGATGGAATGTTGAATGAGACAGATAAGAATCTGCTTTAATGGGGACAGATGACCAAACCAGAAAAGGCCAGGCATTGATAAATGCCATAATAACAATAAAACAGGATGAGTTGACGGGGAGGGACAGGCTACTTGAGATCAGGAAGTTGAGGACAGCTGCTCAGAGGCGGGGACGTTTTAAAACGGGACTGGAATGACAGCAGGAGCCAGCCATGCCAAGATTATCTTTGGTCACGTTGACAGAATGGCCAGAGTACGTCCACACATATGTAAATGTGACTTCCATCTCATCTTAAACCATTTTTAAAAAAAATCAGTATAGCCATTAAGCAGACAGCTCACCCCAGGGGTTGAAGCATTTGCCAAACTTCCTGGGAGTGGCCTGTTTACTTGTCTCTCCCGCTAAATATTGTGTGCTCTCCTTGCAGGCAGGGACAGTGACTTGCTCGCTCCCATATCCACAGAGTCTAATGCAGTGCCTGGCACACAGTTGGCCTCATGGAGCCGTGCCTGGCAGAGAGGAGGCATGCAGGAAATTCAATGGGTGAATGAATGAATGAATGAACTCTGTTGATTTTCACTTTCCTTGGGCTTTGCATGACTACATTTTAGTGGGGTTCTCACTAAACAGTGGCTGGGGCTCAAAGGTGGGTAAGAACTAGCAAGAGAAGTCAAGAGGGGGGTTTAACCAGTCTTGATCAGATTTGCTAGTCCCTTACATGCTATTATCTAAAGATTGGCATGAAAAGATTTAGTTCTCAGTGAAATATTAATGCCCTGCTGTGTCTCTTTTGAGAAACCATGGATGCCAAGATAGTGAAGAAGCTCGTCTAATCAGAAGCTAATTGTTTTTGGACTTTGAGCTCCTGGGAAGCAGCAATTATAGGGAAGGCTGGTAATGGAATCAGAAAACTGCTTCTTAGTGGTGGCAGCACAGCCCTGGGACTCAGGCCACAAGTGGAACAGGTGACTGGGAAGCGATGAGATTTCTGGTGTGGCATGGTCCCTGGTTGCATTTTTGTGGGCCTTATTTTGAAAGGTGGTCTTGCTCAGGAGCCAGACTTAGGTCTAAGACTTGGCTTTCAGAGTTGGAGCTGGGCAGGACAGGAGGGCATGACAGGGCAGGTGGGGAGGGACAGGGATTTGAGGAGTCCCACTCACCTGGGGTGAAGTCTCACCCAGCTGCAGCTGCTCGTTGGTGAGTTGACACCCGCAACAAGTACAGGGTTCAGGCGTTATAGTTGTCTTCAATCTCAGACCCACCAGGGAGGCTGGTGGTACCCAAGGTGAAGTGGCCGACTGCCCCGGCAGTCAGGGTCTCCCTCCATTTCGGACTGGGGCCAGGTGCTCAGAGCTGTAGCTCATGGCTCTCCTCCGTCGGAAGTAGGGATGCTAGCAAGATAACAGGGCTCCCACTTATATCTGAATTCCAAAGAAACAACAATTTTTTTAAATCACATGTTGCCAATATTGCATGAGATTTTGTGTAGTTGATCTGAAATTCAAACTTACTTGGGTGTCCTGTATTTTTATTTGCTAAATCTGGCAACCTAATTTGCAGGCAAAAGGCAGAAGCTCCCAAAGAGGCCCTGGGTTTCTAAGGTGTCTGCTGTTTGTCCTGTTGTCTGCAGTCGAGGCTGATGAAGATGGAGTTTCTCTTCCACCTCCCGGAGGTCTGCAGTTGAGCAGGGGTAGGAGCTGGAGTGTCACACTGATGCAGAGGGATAGGGTGTCTTGGCTGAGTGGAGGAAGGATGTCCTGGTGTCTCCCGGGAGGCCAGGTGTCCATAGGGAGTAGGCTGTTGCCACTCTTGCAACAATTTTTTTAAATCACATGTTGATTTTTAAAATCACATGTTGATTTTTTTAAATCACATGAAAAATGTCCCCAGTGCAGGCGGGATCAGCCTATGGACAATGCCCATCTTCCCACTCTGTTATCTGACCTCTAGTGACCCCTAGGATGTGACCTCTGGGATGTCATCACCCAAATCTAAGGGTCACAAACATCTCTGTCAGGTGACCGTTCTCTGCTTCGCACAGTGGGGAAAGCAAGGCCCCCAGGCGCACCGGGAGAGGAGCGGCTCAGTGTTGGGTGGGGTGCTGAGGTTCCAACCAGATCCCCGGGCTCCTGGGTCAGGGTAGAGCACACCGGCCCCGGCAGCTCTGTCTTTGGCACCGAGGGAGCTGTGTGCAGGGGACTTAGTTGGGACTGTCGGCCTATTCCAGTGTGTGGCCCCATGGCCTGCTGTTGGGTAGCTCGGCCCTCAGTGGCCTCACCACTGGGGAAAGTCTATCGGCCCAGGGCACATGTGGCTGGGGGCAGGGGGTAGGAAGTTGAGTGACATGTTGTTATTTTTAAGTTGAAAATGACAGGTAGTGGGGGAATGTCCACGAAGCTATTTCTGAAACCTTTGTCACTTACTGTCACTTTTGAGTACAGGGAAAGGCATCCTCAAAGACAATCAATATGAAGTCTTTATTTCGGTGACTGGGCGATGAAGGGGTGAAAGCCTGGAGGAGGGTGTCACAGTCTCGAAACCCACAGAGGGACGGCAACAGGGCAGCAAAGGGAGGAGACGCCTCGGACGCCTGCCTGGGACCTCTGAGCCCTCTGCTGCCCTGACGTTCGCTGGAGCTCTTCAGAGAGACAGAACCAGGATGAGAGAGAGAGACAGAGAGAGAGAGAGGTGGATTCGTTTTAAGGCACTGGCTCAAGCAGCCATGGGGGCTGGCACGGCCAAAATCCACAGGGCAGGCCAGAGGGCTGGACACCCAGGTGAGAGTTGATGTTGCCATCTTGAGGCGAAATCCCTCCTGAAGATGGAGTGAAACCTTGGTCTTCACTCTTAAGGCCTTTAACTGATTGTGCAAGGCCCACCCACGTGGTGGAGGGTGATCCATTTGCATCAAAGTCTACTGATTGCAAATATTAGTCACCTCTAAAAATATCTTCACAGCAACATCTGGCTGGTGTTTGCCCAAACAGCTGGGCACCGCAGCCGAGCCCAGTCAACACATGAAACCCACCATCACACCCTCCCTCTGCACCCTCTCGATGCCCTGGGCCCGTTGCTCCTGACAGTGGGTGGGGGCATGCTTCGGCCTTGGATGGGAAGCCTGCCATGGAAGGGTGTGACCACATAGCTTGAGATGGAAATTTGGTAGGGGTGGAGCAGGCAGAAGGTTTCCCACCCGGGTCATCCCTTGGCCTCCGCCCAGCAGACTTGTCACCAAGGTGGTGCAGCGTCTCTCCCTGCCTGATGCCTTTACTGAGGTCTCTGCGGGAAGGACTTCCCCTCCCGTCTCCCCTGAGCTCTCTTCCTCCGTAGTTATAACCTGGCTGTGACTTGCGGGCTCCCTCTGCAGCGTGGTCCCGCACAGGGACGGTCCCTGTGGCCACTGGGCTGCCCCCAAATTGCACCACCCAAGGTGGAGAATCCCTCACCGCCAAGAAGGCTGCACAATCATTGTTTTAAAACATAAGCTTTTTAGTACAGAATAATTTTGGATTTGCACAAACGTTAGTAAGATGGTAGGGAGTTCCCACATACCCCTTATGCAGTGAACTCTAAAGTTAAATCATCTTAGGTTACTGCGGGATGTTTGTCTTGAGTGAAACCCAGCAGGTGCGGCACTGTTAACTGAACTCCAGACATACTCAGATGTTACTTGTTTTCCCACCGATGCCCCTTTTCTGCTCTCGGATCTGATCCAGGGCCCTGCGTTGCATTTAGTGCTCCCTCGCTTTTTAGGCAGGTTCTGTCTGCTACTTTTCGATCCTCCCTCCTCCCTCCCCGGTGCTCCCTCCTCCCTCCCCGGCATGCACTGGAAGCTCCTCCTGTCTGTTGGTCAGTGCTCAGAGGCCTGGCCAGGCCTTCCCTTTCTTCCCCCAGGCGTGCTGGGAAGAAGGGAGCCGCCTTGGCTGCTTGGTAAATATTTTACAACATCTAATGGAATCAAGTTGTTTACTCTGCAGGAAATAGAGAGGCATTAGTTAAGGAAAGTAACAAGCTGGCTGCTGCTGACGCTTCAGGTTTAGCGAGAGGCCTGGGAGCTTGAGTGACTTCCACTTAAGGAGTAGCAATGCGGGCCTGCAGCTAGAACATCCCAGAAGGGATACGCTTCCACTTTCTCCGGCCACCGAAGCCCCAAGGGGCCAGGATATGGGAGCCAGGCTCCCTGCAGCCTCAGACCCACTGGGGACCTTGCTGGGTCCTCTAAATGTCCCCATGCAAACCTCATTCCCAAATAGCTCCCCCCTTGGCCTTTCCCCTTCAGCTGACTCTCCTGGCCTGTTCCCTTTGCTGGGAACTAGGGCTCCTGGGGGAGC